CCCCACAAAGCCAGTTCAGTCGGTGCTTGATGGGTGGGGAGACTGAGGGGGTTGCACACCCAGAGGCCACAGCCACGCTCTGTCCTCCTGAAACACTCAGGGAAGCACTTTTACCACCTCATTTATTCCCCCCCCTGTAATTAGGACACATTAAGTCGGGCTGGGCAGGCAGGGATGCTGCCTGGGGACCCCCGTGGGAGCACCTGGAGGGAGCTCCTCAGCACTCAGATCGATGCTGATGAGTGGAGGGGGGAGGTAAAGCCCATTTTCTCCTGCAGCTTTGAGGGTAAACTCCCCCCTTTCTCAGGCAGGATGAGCCGTGTGGCACTGGGAGGGGACACTGAGGCACAGGGGGGTGGGGAGGACTCAGGGCCCTGGAGCTCACAGGGGTTATTATTATTATTTATTATTATTATTAAATAATTAATAACCATTAATAATCTGGGACACCTCAGAGACTGATGGGAGAGGGGTGGGGCTGTCAGCGAGAGAAACGGAGAGGGGATTTGGGATGGCAAGGCTGCTGCAGACCCCACCTCACCCCCTAAGGGGGCTGGGTCAGGGATGCTCATCCCGGGGCCCAGCACTGCCCACCCGGGTTTCAGGAGGGATGTCCACCCTCAGTACAGCAAATGGGACAGGGAAGGTGCTCCCTGGTGTCTGTGCCACCCTCCTGGCACAGCCAGAGCGGGATTCAGCTCTCCCATCCTTGGCACAGGGGTTAAGAAGGATTGGGAAAGCTGCCTGGATTAATGGGGTGGGTCTGAAGACGGTGAAGGTGCCACAGCCAAGGGGTGATTTGAGGGGACAGGTGAGCTCCTTCCCACTTGAAACTGGTGCCAGCACCTTTGGAAAATCCTATTTCCTCCTGCCTGTGTGCCCTCAGGGATTGCAGCGTCTGAGCACCCCGAAGTTCTCTGAAAGCTGTTTACAAACTTCTCCAAAAAGCAAGGGTCTCATCCAATCCCCATTTTTTAGCTTAAAAACCACCGTTGAAGGCCCCAGTGCTCCCCCCCTGCCTTTACCCCCACCTTTCTGCGAGATAATCCCGTAATTAAGAGCAAAGTGGGCGGTCAGTAAATGCTGGGATAACGGGTGGATCCCACCAGCTCCCAGCCCCGATCCAGCCGCATCGCATCCTTGTTTATGGATTAGGAACGACGAGGGCAAGCAAAGGCAGGTGAGGATGGGCAACAAATCACCTGCAAAGTACCCGTGACCAGAGCAGGAGGGTTTTTTCCACCGTGATAAACCCATTCCTGATTTCAGCCCCGAGGCGTGGGAAAACTGAGGCCCAGAGGATGCCGGCAGGGTGACACCTCCTCGCTTTCCCTTTCCCAGCTCCAAACATTCCCGATAATCCCGTCGCCGGCCGAGGCATCGCTCAGACGCTTCGGCCTGTTGGAACTAATTATCCGGGGGGATTTCCCCGTCGTTTCCAGCTGCTCTTTGCCTCCAGCGTCCCGGGAGCCGCCGTGGTGACCGATGTCCTGCTCTAATCCCTGCTCCCCCCACGCTGTCCTGCAGGTCGCGGCGCTGGAGAGGCAGATCTTTGATTTCCTGGGATACCAGTGGGCCCCCATCCTGGCGAATTTTTTACACATCATGGCCGTTATTTTGGGCATTTTTGGGACCATCCAGTACAGATCCAGATACCTCATGATGGTAGGTACTGCTGTGGGTTCCTGGGGTGCAGCGTCGTCAGCCCTGGGAGTGGCTCAGGGTCCCTCCTGTGTCACTTGGAATAGGATGTCCCAGAGAAGTGGTTTCCCGGTGCCAGAGGGCAGGGTTAGGTGGGATATTGGGAAGGAATTGTTGTATGGGAGGGTGGGCAGGCCCTGGCACAGGTTGGCCAGAGAAGCTGTGGCTGCCCCTGGATCCCTGGAAGTGTCCAAGGCCAGGTTGGAGCACCCTGGAATAGTGGAAGGTGTCCCTGCCCATGGCAGGGGGTGGAGCTGGATGGGTTTTAAGGTCCCTTCCAACCCAAACCATGGTGTGATCCTCTGATCCAACCCCAGATCCCTGCACAGAATCAGAGAATGTTAAAGACCCTAAAGACCACCTTTGAATTGAACTCCTGATCCCTGGCATTTAACCAGCAGTCCTGGGCCCCTCTGCCCTTCAGGGATGTATCCCAAGGGATGGGGTGCAGCAGGGGGGACGGAGCAGGGGTCCCTGACGGTCTCTCCCCCACAGTATGCAGTGTGGCTGGTGCTGTGGGTCGGCTGGAACGCCTTCATCATCTGCTTCTACCTGGAGGTCGGGCGCTTGTCACAGGTAACACCCCCACACCTGCCTCCTCCTCGTCCCCCCTCCCTCAGCCCTCCCTCCCCCTTTCCAGCCTTCCTGCCCTCCTGCCCTTCCCCTCCCTCTCCTTCCCTGCTCCGGATCTCTCCCTCAGAGGGGACACAGAGGCTGTGGGTGCGCCCAGCCTGCCAGCTGGGGGTGCCTCTCCAGAGGGTCCTGCCTGCAGCACCCACTTCCCAGGGGATGGGAGGGACAGGCAGACAGTGCAGGCCAAGGTGGCAGTGGGTGGCCCTTTCCTAATGTGCCAGTGATAAAGAGGAGAAAGAGCACAAGGAACAGGGATGAGCAATGACAGGGAAGTTTGGGGCAGTCACTGGAACCTGGGGAGGGCAGTGGGCGGAAGGATGAGACCCCCATGCTGTGCACACCCAATTTACGGGGTCTCCTGGAACTCTACAAGCTCCACTCAGCCCTGGAGCCCCCAGCAGTGGCTGGACATCATCAATGGCTTTGGGAAGTCACCTGGTGGTGATGGGGTGATGGTGTGAGGGTGTGGGGGGGTTATGCCTTTCCATGTCCCTCCACCCCTGTTAAATTGCAGCTTTTACACAAAAAAAAGGAGCAGAACTTCACACAGGGGTGGTGCAGCACCAGATGGTTTGAGCACCCTCAGCCCGTGGCTGAGTCAGCTGTGCCCTGCTCTGCCACCCCACCCCCAGCTCTGAGGATGCTGTTCCCTGCTTGGGACATCACAGAGGGCACGGGACAACCACTCCCAAAGCAGGGAGAGGACTCCTGAGGGGCCTCCGTGGCTGAGACCATCTTCCCAGGCTGCTCTGGGTCATTTGAGGCTCTTTCAAGGAGTGCTGGATGTGAGCAGCAGGCACGGAGGATGGCAGGGGGAGGATTTGGTGGAAATCCCCAGTCTCCGTCACTCTGCGGTGCAAGAACACCCCCTGGTCCTGCTTCCAGCACCTGAACCCACATCCTTCAGCTTCACAAACCCAAACCCACTCTCTTGCTATTTTTTTCCACACCCACCAGCAAAAGCCTTTTCATCCCAGATTGGTGATTTCCTGCAGGGGATGCTCAGCAGGTTCCCCATCCCCCGGATCCAAGGGCTGGGGGTGCAGAAGGGGACTGGGAGGGGCCTCCCTGGGGTGGGGGGCTCTTCCAGCTGGGCAGTGAGGGGTGGGAAAGGACAGGAAGGGGGTGAGGATTAGCCCTGCAGCCCTGCCTTGCAGCAGAGGAGGGTCCTGCCTTCCCACTGGCACCTCAGAGCTGCTGTGGAGAGGACACAGAGAGAGCTCCAAAGCTTGTAAGGGGGGGATGTGTGTGGGGAGGCCTCACAAGGCTCTGTGGGGTGGGAGGGAAGGGGTGGCACCCCAAACCCTGAGGGGAGAAGCAGGGGTTGCCCTGCATCCCTGGAGCTCGCTGGGGGGGTGGTCCCACGGTCCTGTCTCTCGGGGGGGCTGGATGTGACCAGCAGCACCATAAACAGCTGGTGACCACCCTGTGCCATCCTCATGTCCCCTGGACCAGATGGTCCGTGACAGCAGCACGGCAGGAGCCCACAACCCCTGGGACACTGCAGGTCAGGGCGATGCCCTGCTCTGTGTTCACGTGGCCCCACGGAGCACCCTGGGGTTGGGAAAACCCGTTTTTCTGTCCAACCCTCCTGCAAAGAGCGTCAGCTCCACAGCCTCTGCCTCCTCCCCCTCCTCCTGCTGCAGGACCGAGACTTCATCATGACCTTCAACACGTCCCTGCACCGCTCGTGGTGGATGGAGAACGGCCCGGGCTGCCTCGTCACTCCCGTGCTCAACTCCAACCTGGCGCCCGAGGACCACCACGTCATCACGGTCAGCGGCTGCCTGCTGGACTACCAGTACATCGAGGTGGTGAGCAGTGCCACGCAGATATTCCTGGCGGTAAGGGCACCCCTCCCTCCCTCTCTCCCTCGCCCTGCATCCCCAACCGTGACTGAGAGGGCGGGGTCGGGGCGGGCACAGTCGCCCTGCTCTGGTTGGGGATGTCCCACCCAGGGTGGTGTTTCACGGGCAGGGGAGGGAGGAGCAGACAGATCCCATGCCGGCACCCCGGGGGGTGCTGCCCATCCCAAAATCGGGCAGGCTGTGGACTGGGAGCTGCAAAAATCCGGGAGCTCTCGGTGTAACCCACCCCGATGTGCTGCTTATTGGAGAGGGAGGGTCCCCCCGCTCCTGGGGGCTGTCTCATCCCACGGGAAAGAAGCGGGAGTGGGACATACCTGGGTGCAAAACCCCCTGAGAGCCTTGGGAGGCTGCGAGGAAATAAAGCTTTTAAAGGCAGGGGGGGTTCAGAGCAGCCTCTCTCTTTTCCCAGCTCTTCGGGTTTGTCTACGCCTGCTACGTCAGCAAAGTGTTCCTGGAGGAGGAAGACAGCTGTAAGTGCTGGGGCTGCGGGTCATGTGGGGCGGAGCTGATGCCATCCCGAGCTTTTCCAGGGTGGCAGCTCCTGGCTGGGGCCGGGGGAGTGATGGCTGGGTTGCGGGCTGGGTCAGGAACCTCCACTAGCTGGGTTTTTTTTGCCTCATATTTCCATCCCTGGTGTGGCAGATGTGCTGGGGTGTGATGTGCCACCAGCACAGCCTCAAGGGAGGTGCTGCACCCCAGGAGGAGGGGACAGGGAGCCCTGAGCTGCTGCATCACAGCCCTGGGGTGCAGGAACAGGACTGGTTCCATCCAACATGGGCTCAGGTTTCATCCCTGCACCAAGGGGCTGAGATGGTCCCAATCCCGTCCCTAGTCCCCACACCAGCATCACTGCACTGGGTTTTCACCCCAAAACAGGTGGAAAACCAGCAATTTAAGCCAAGTTCCAGGGTAACTTTTATGCAACCTGTGTTGTTCTGCCCGCCCTGACCACGATCCCTCAAACATCCCGACCCCAATTGACCAGGTGGCCGAGGCTGTGGCCATCCGAGTGCATTAAAAGCTCATCTGCCACTAATTAATTCCTGCCAGCTGGCAGCTCCCAGCAGCCCCACCGCAGGCAGGGATGTTCCACATGGCAAAGCCACCCCAGATGCGCTTGGGGTCAGGTTCCTTTCCCGGAATCAGCACCCCGTCAGTGCCGCGGACCCACAAGTGGTCCCAGCCCAGTCCCGAGGGTTCCATTTTGCAGCAGCCCCGTGTTTTCCCCCCACTTTGGTAACCGGAAAAGCAAAATCTCCTAGTGAAAGCGGCTGCTCCCTGCGGGAATGGGGTGTTTCCATAGCCAGGGAGCCGGGAAAAGGGTCTGTGCAGCTCCAGAGCCTGTTTGCATTCAAACAAACTCCTGCATTCAATACACTTTTAATATTAATGCCGCTGCAGCCCGGGATGCAAATGCATCTTTTTAATGGAATATCTTATTAGGTTTGGAAATGGATGGATGGCGACAAAATCGGGAGCTGGCTGAATGTTAAGCTGGGAAGATAAATGTGCCGGGAGGGGTGGGGTCCCCCCCGTCAGCCCCCCCTGCTCTTGGACACCGGCGTGTGAACCTGCCCCGAGCACAGCCCCGTGTTTTGTTATTTTTTTTTTGGGGGGGGGGGGGATGGCTTGTGCTGCGAGTCCTGGAAAGGCTGGATCCCCCTTTTCTGGTGCCCATCCCTGTGCCAGTGGGAGGGTTCGGGTCTGGGGACAGGCGGGTGGTCGCGGGAGAAGTCGGGGTGGTATCCCCGGACACCAAACGCTGCCGGTGCCGGGCTCTGATGCTGTGACTGCCCCGGGACCCCTCGGACCGGGGGGTGGCCTCTGGATGTGGATGAGCCGCGGGGCTGGGAATGTCGGCAGCGAAAGCTGATCTATTGTGTCCGCAATTCCCATCAGTGACAGCCTTAAACGAGCCGTAATTCCCCCACAGTTCTCCCTAAATGCCCACTCTGAGAGGTGATTTCATCCACCTTGTCCTGCCGGCAGCGCAGGCACCTCCTGTGGTGAGGAGAAGGGAGCACAGGGATCTCAGCAAGTCGCTCTGGCTTCTTTCCTCTTTCCCACTGGTGTTTTCCTGGGATGTTCCCATGACCTGCGATGTTGCAGCAATCCAGGATGCTGCCCTGACCTGGGGTGATGCCCTGGCCTGGGATGCTGAGGTGCCCGAGGGTGCATTTCAAGCTTCCTGAGGAGGTTGTGGATCCTCCTTCCCTGGAGATACCCAAAAGTCATCTGAACACAACCCTGAGGGATGAGCTCTGGGGGACTCTGCTAGAGCAGGGAGGTTGGGCTGCAGGACCTCCAGTGGTCCCTTCCAACCTGAACCAGCCTGTGATTCTGATTTCCCTGGGATGCAGCACTTCCCCAGGGTGCTGTGGTGACTCAGGATCATAGAATCATGGAACAGTTTGAGTTGGGGAGGACCCTAAAGACCACCTGTTTCCACCCTTCCAGAGGGGCAGGGACACCTTCCACCAGCCCAGGTTGCTCCAACCTGGCCTTGGACACTTCAAGTTCTTACCCCAAGTCCCTCTCCAGCTCTCTTGGAGCCCCATTAGCACTGGAAGGGGCTCTCAGGGTTCCCTGGCTGCTTGCTGAGATGCTGCACTTCCCTGGTCTGCAGCTGCAGCCCCACGGGTGCCCTCGGGGTGGGGAGGGAGGCAGGGAAGGACCCTCCCTTGCCCCCCAAGTGCCCTCCCAGCTCACCTCCCCTCTCTGCCCGCTCTCCCCAGTCGACTTCATCGGTGGGTTTGACTCCTACGGGTACCAGGCACCACAGAAGACGTCACACCTACAGCTACAGCCGCTCTACACGTGAGTGCCCGGGGTGTCCCTCCCCCCAACCCATCCTGCTCTAAGATCCCTCCAACCCAGCCCTGGGCACTTCCAGGGATTCCAGGGGCAGCCACAGCTTCTCTGGGACTGCTCAGGGGTGCAGGATCCCCCTCCAAGGTCCCGCACTGAGATCCTCCCGTGGCACCCTCACAACCCAAAGGATTTGGCCCCTGAGGTTCCATCCTGGCTGGGCAGGTTTTTTTTTTGGGGGGGAGGATGCCCAGGGTGGGGTTTGCTGTGTGTTTTTGCTCAGTCTCACCCTGGCAGCGCCCCCGGGGGAAGCAGCAGCTCCTCAGAGAGGCACAGTTGACTTCTCTCCCCTCTCCCTTAGCCATTAAGCTTCACTAGATAAACACTCCAGCGAGATAAGGCTGCCGAGTCTAAAGGGATTAACCTCTGCCCGCTGCCAAAAATTAATTATATTTTCAGCCTTGTATGCAAATTCAAGGGCACAATTAGGGATGCAAAGAGGGGCTGTGGTGGAACAAATGCATCTGTGACAGTGCAGGGCCCTCCCCGTGTGCCCACCCGGGTGCTGTGCCCCCCTGGGAGGAGCTGGTCCTTCCCTGGAGCCCCCCCCAACCCTCCGGGGTTATAATTTTTATTTCCTCCAGTGTCTTAGAATTTTATTTATAATTTATTTTGTAATAAATAATATGCCATTTTATAAGTTATATTTATTTATATTATTTACATCATTATTTATATTCTATTCTTCTATTATTTATTTATGTTATTACTTCAGGTTATATATATTATATATATTACATACTTATATAATACATAATCTATAATTATAATGTATTTTATGTATTATATATAATATGTATTCATTGTATCTATAATATATAATCTATAATTATATATAACACATTTTATGTATTATGTATAATATATATACATTATATCTCTTGCAAAATATATATTTTATATTTTTCTGTAATAATACGCAAATAATAATATTCCATATAATATTACTCTATAACATAATGTTATATATCATATATTACATCACAATTTAATTATATATAATATAATAAGGTTATATAATATATACATACAATCCAATCTATAGAATATATAAATAACATTATTTATGGTGGTGGGAACATCAGGATTTGGGGGGGATATCAGCTGGAATATCCATTTTAAGTGGTGAGAACATCAGGATTTGGGGGTGATATCAGCTGGAATATCCATTTTAAGTGGTGGGAACATCAGGATTTGGGGGGGATATCAGCTGGAATATCCATTTTAAGTGGTGGGAACATCAGGATTTGGGGGGATATCAGCTGGAATGTCCATTTTAAGTGGTGGGAACACCAATTTTAGAGGCACAGGGTGGGGTGGGGGGGTTGGTTGAGGCTACTTGTGTCCTCAGGGCCAGCTGGGTAGGATAGCAGGGCCACAGCCCCAGAAATTAGAGCTCGTTCTGCAGCTTCCAATCAGCCCTAATTGAATTAATTAGCAGCAGTGCAGGGGAGGGCTCCTACCCAGCGGGAGGAGGAGGACAAGGATGTGCCACGGCAGCACCTGGTCCCCTCGGGTCCCTCCTGCCCAACCAGGGTGGCACCAGGGGTGTTTCTGGTGTGTGGGGCTGGGGCTGGTCCTGTGCTGCACCCCCAGATCTGTCATGATTTCACCTAAGCCCCCCCAAAAAAGTGGCTCATTCAGCCTCCCCCTGGGATGGGATGGGGAGAAAAATCAGGAAAGGGAAAACCAGTGGAGTGAGATGAGAACGGTTCAATAACTGAAACTAATAAACATATAATAACAAGATTATTAGCAATAGCAGTGGTAGTAGTAACAGTACTAGTAGTATTATTAAATGTTATGTATTATATATTATATATGATAGTATAATTATAAATATTACATATAGTATTTTAGCATAGTAGCAGCTGTAGTAATTACTATTATTATTATTGTTATTATTAAAAGGGGAATAAACCCCAAGAACACCGTGCCACCATGGGGGGGTGGGAACATGAACCCTTTGAGCCTCCCCACCCTGGCCTCTGTCACTCTCTGACATTTTCTGGGGGGTGAAAGGAGGGCAGTGGCCCTTTTCGAGCCACCCCGAGTCAGCCCCGCAGGTCCCTGTGCCCATGGCTGTGACTCCTTATCCCCACAGGGGACACACGGGTGGGGAGGGCTCACTCCTGATTCCTCCTCTGCATTTCCAGGTCCGGGTAAACTCCTTCTGCCCTGGATCCAGCCCCGGAGCCAGCGGTGACAGGACCCCCCCGGAGCCACCACCCCCCCGATGACACAACCCCTGGAGAGGGGGAGACCCCACAAGGAGCACCCCACGACGCCCCAGAACGGAGCCAGGAGCTGCTCAGCCATCCCGCCCTGGAGGCCTCCGATCCCGAACCGCTCCCAGCGGGATTTGGGGCATGGACACAGAGGGATCCCTCCCCAAGCTGTGCCAGCCCTTTGGGATGGGGACATGGGGACACGCAGGAAGTGGCAGCAGGACACTGATTGCTTCTGTTTGTCCCAGCCTGGCTTTCCTTGGAGCAGAGGGGCCCTTCCCGGTGTGCCGGGAGCCCGGAGTGGGATTGGGCCAAAAACCAGCGGGTTTGGAGCAAACTGGGACCAGGGGCAGGGGACAAACACTGCTCTGGGGACAGCAGGGCACAGAGAGCAGCCTCAGCCTCCGTGGATTTGGGACAATTTCTGGACCTGGGGGTCGGGCTGGCTCCAAAAGCGGGGAATTTGCTCATAGAAGGAATTTTCCAGCTCCTCTCAGCTGGACGAAACAGCACTGAAGGGGCTCGGCCTGGCACGAGGAGGAGCCTTGAGGAGCTGGATCTGGACAGCAGCATCTTTCCTGGACCACCCCCCCAAATCTGGGGACAGGAGGGGACACACAGCACCCCAAAAACCCCCCTGCCAGCCCCTCCATCCCTCCCACATTCCTGGGGGGACCTCTCCAACCTGGCAATAGCGACGCTGCTGCTTCTGGCACAGCCCCTTTCCGGCTGTTTTAATGAATCTGATGAATGTTTTGGGTTGGTTTGGGTTTGTTTGGATTTTTTTTTTTTTTAATTAATTATCAGTTTGGGTTTTTCTATTTAATTTAAAGTGCCTGAGTAGACTCTGCTGTGCCCCCCACCAGGGCTGCCCCTGTGCCCCCCAGGGGCCTCCCCCTCCAGCCCCTTCATCCGTGGGGGGTCTCAGTGGCAAATCCATCCATCAGCTTCGGTGGCAGGAGAGGGACATTGGCACGAGGGGAATGTTTTCTGGGGGGAAGGGGGGAGGATGTGGGAGGTGTGTCGGGCAGCAAAGGAAAACGAGCTGGGAAGGAAAAGCCTCAAAAGAAGGATCCAAAAAGGGAGTTTCCTGAAGCATCCCAGCTCCACAAATCTCGTTGTTCTCCTTTTTTTTTTGTTTGTTTGTTTGTTTGTTTTTTTCCTTTTCCTGGAGTTGGGAATGAGGCTCCTTCAGGATCCCTGGATCCGGCCCCAAGCCCACCCTTCACATCAGGGGAGCAGGGGGTGTCAGATGAATTCCAACTCCCAGGTGTTTGTCCTTCAGTCCTGGGGTGTTTGGGGACTTTTTTCCCACCCTGGAGTGATTTTTTCCAGCGAGGTGAAGTGCCACCACCCCGAGCTGGGACGAGCTGCAGCCTCCCCACAGCCCCATCACCACCTCCAGCCAAGCTGTGAACTCTACAGGCAATAATTTATCCACCCTGTCCCTCCTCTTTTTCCCAATGTTTTTCAGGCAATGCATCCCCCTCGTCCCCCAAAACACACCCCCTGTCCCCAAGGGCTGCCCAGCCCCAGGACCAGCAGCATTTTTTGGGGTTTATTTCCCTCTCCAGGACAAAGGACGCTCTGGCTGACCCGCCGTGGGATGGGATCGGGGTGGAACCGGCAGACACCCACCTGCTCCAAACCCTTCTCAGATCCATCAGGAAGCAGAAGGACAAGCTTGCTGGCCTCTCAAACCCTTGGGCAGAGCTCCCCCTGCCCTGGGTTTGGAAGGAGCCAGGCACCGGTGCTCTGTTCTTTTCTTTCCGTTGGCTTGGTTTTCTACGAGCCCGTCTTTGTAACGTGAACCCAGGATTTCTTTTCTATTCTGTAATTATAAAAGTCAAAGGAAAGTTTCAGCTGGTGGTGTTCTGCTTCTGGCACCTCCTCGTGCGGTTCAGTCGATTAAAAAGTGGGAGGGTGGGGGTTTTTTATTTATTTATTTTTAATTTTTGCCCTTTTGTCCCCCATTGATGCTGCCACCTCCTTCCCAAGGGATCTGCACCCCCCACCTTTCTCCATCTTATATTATAGAATCTCAGACTGGTTTGGGTTGGAAGGGACCTTAAATCATCCCATTCTACCCCCTGCCATGGGCAGGGACACCTTCCACTATTCCAGGTTGCTCCAAGCCCTGTCCAGCCTGGCCTTGGACACTTCCAGGGATCCAGGGGCAGCCACAGCTTCTCTGGGCAACCTGTGCCAGGGCCTGCCCACCCTCCCAGGGAAGGATTCTTTCCTAATATCCAGTCTAAACCTACTCTCTGTCAGTCTGAAGCCATTCCCTCTTGTCCTGTCCCTTCAGGCCTTTGGAAATTGTCTCTCTCCATCTTTGTTGTCAGCTCCCTTCAGGCATTGCGAGGCCACAATTAGATCATTCCAAAGCCTTCCCTTCTCCAGGTGAACTCCCCCAGCTCTCCCAGCCCTGCTCCCAGAGCAGAGGGGCTCCAGCACTTGGCCTTGTTAAACCTCGTGAGATCCCAGCCCTTCTCTGGATGATGCCCTGGGAAGAATCTACCTCTTCCCTCACTGCCCACACAGGTGAAACCCTCCCTGGTAGTAAAACAACAGGGGAAAAAAACCCCTTTAAAATAAGAAGAAAAGCATCAAAGCACCATCCTCTGAGCTGGGTGAGGGTCCCAGCAGCATTCTCTGGGCTGGCTGGGGGTCCCAGCAGCATCCTTCAGGTTGGGTGTGGGATACTGGAGTCTGGAATATCCCATCCCTGTTCATGGGGGCAGCCAAGGGGGTTCAACCTCCCTTCTCCTAAGAGAGATATTAATAAACACACAAAGAAGAATTCATAACCACCCAAATAAATAATAAAAAACACTCCCCCACCCGAATAATATTAAGACCCTCCCTGGGCTGTTTTTGCAAACTGAGCACCCAAAATCAAGTTTTCCAGGCCTGCCAGGAAGGGAGGGTATGGATCTCTCAGATTGTGGCCACGGCCCCTGGGAAAAGTTTCCTTTTCTCCCCAGATATTCCCGTTTTCCATCACCAAAGCAGCACTTTCAATCCAGTTTAAAGCTGCCCCTTTAGGGTGATGTTTGCTGTACACGTGGTTCCATTCCAAGTATTCGAAGACATTTCACTTGCTCTGTGTTTAATTGATTCCAGCCTGGATTTTGGTTCCCAAATCTCTATCCCTGTGGGAAAGAGCTGCCATGGGAAGAGGATGGAGCACAGCCATCCCCAGCAGCCCTGGGTGACCCTGGGCCAGGGTGGGTGGCCCTGATCCACCTGGATGTCACCAGGTCACCCACAGGTCCCACTGGCTCTGCTGTGAGATCCCATCCCCAGGCTCTGGACTTTAAAAACGGGTTTCCAGGCCTAAAATCTATGGATTTTAGTGAGGTGTCCAGGGATGGAAGAGCTACAGAGGGGTGTCCCAGCACCCTGGGGACAGGGGTTGGTTTGGCCAGGTCGGGGAGGGTGGGGGTGAAGGTGACCCTCACTGAGGCACAGGGGTGGGACAAGGAGCCTCCAAGGACCCCTGGTGTGGGTGCAGCCTCTGGGGCATCCCATGGACACACTGCTGGACCATCCCACTGCTCCTCCTCCCCAGAAGGGAGGAAGGAGGGAACCTGTTTGCCTGCCCACACCCATGGATCTGCCTCTTGCCAAACAACCTCCTGCTGCCCAGCCTGTCCCAACCTGTCCAGGCACGGAACTAAAGCCTTGAACAGTAAGGCTGCTCCAGCCTCTGGCCTCTCCATGCCCAGGTTCTGCACCCTGTGCCTTGGATTCTGCCTCTTCCCTCACTGCCCACACAGGTGATTCCTTCCCTGGGAGTAAAATAACAGAAGAAACCCCCAAACCTTTAAAATAAGTAGATTAATAATAAGAGCCTTTAAGGGCAGGTGAGCACCAAACTGGAGGCTGAAACAGGCTTCTTAAAGTGGTTTTCAATTAAAATCTTTAATTTTGAGAGACATCTTCCAGTTCATAAGCAAAGGCTGGAACCTTTGGTTTTACAGCCACAATTATCTTCCGAGAGCAGCGGGGGAAATTCTTCCAAAATAAAAATGATCACCTGTGAATGTCACCTGCCACCTACCCCGTGTGACATCCCTGTCCTGCTCCCACCTGAGTCTGGAGCCAGGGCATGAATCCAACACCCCCAAAAACACCAGGGGCACCTCAAATGTGGAAAAGCAGTGAGTGTGGGCATGGCATTGGTACTCACAGTCCTGGGGGGGGTTCACTCTGAACCCCTCACACCCTGGACCAAGGCAGGGCGGTAATTACAGAGTCCAAGCGTCGCTCGCTGTCGTGAGCAAACCCTGTGTCACCCTAAACAGGAAGGGCAGGGAGAAAAACGAGTTGATTTTCTTCCACCCCAAGCCCAGCAAAGAAGTGGCTGAGGAGCAACAAAGGATTGATTTACCCTGAGCAGAAGCTCCGGCTCCCGCCCGCGGGCACCCGGACCCCGGCGAGGCACAGATGGGGAGGAGTAAAAAAGCCGCTTTCACAACCCCACACAAAGGCATAGAGAGGCTTTTCAGGGGCTGCAGGAGAGCTGGGCACCCAGCTGCCCTGCTCCAAGGTGTGCTGAGCTCCAGGGGAATGGCAGCAGAGCAGGAGGGAGGCTGCAGGAGGCGGTGGGTGAAAGCAATAGCGGTGCTTTGCCCTTTGGAGGGAAGCTCAACACTTGTTCCTGATGGTAAATTGATTAAGAAATGTATTTTGGGCCTTGTTTTTCCTCCTTTGATTGGAGGATGCTCTCCAGGTGGGAGATGTGGCAACCCTAAAAGACACCCTCCTCCTGAACCCACTTCACCGTGGCATGGGTATAAAACATATATAAAAATATATATAATTATTTATATGTATCTATTATTATGTATATATGTGTACATATATAAAAATATATTTTATGAATATAGAAATATATCAAAACATAATTTTATAAAATAGTACTCATATATATTACTATTTTTAGATATTCATGTATATATGTGTATATGTATATATATATACACATGCATATACATATATATGTATTTATTGTGTATATATGTAAAAATATATAAAAAGATAAAAACATATTTTGTGAATATATAAAATATATTTTATTAATACATAATTTTATATAAATATATTAAATATTTCACAGACATATTTTTATATATTCACATATATGTGTATATTATATGGATATATAT